CTCTGCAGCCTACTGCTGTGGACACTGGAGCAGAGACTGAGGGTGCTGAGACTGAGGGTGCTGGGACTGAGGGTACTGAGCCTGAGGGTGCTGGGACTGAGGGTGCTGGGACTGAGGGTGCTGAGACTGAGGGTGCTGAGACTGAGGGTGCTGGGACTGAGGGTGCTGAGCCTGAGGGTGCTGGGACTGAGGGTACTGAGACTTTGGGTGCTGACTCTGGGGGTGCTGAGACTTCGGGTGCTGACTCTGGGGGTGCTGCGAGTCCTTCTGGAGGTCCTGGTGCTGGAGGTACTGGAGCTGCTGCTGGTGCTGGAGGTGCTGGAGCTGGAGGTACTAGAGGTGCTTCTGGTGCTGGAGGTGCTAGAGCTACCACTACTAGAGGTACTGGAGCTGGACAGCCACCGCAGCTTGCTCTACTTGAGACGCTCTCGCCGCAGGCGATTCGTGCGTGGGTCGTTCTGCGAGGCAGTCCTGGTGGTGGAGGGTACGGTCCTGCTGGTGCTGGAGCTACTAGTCCAGGAGTTGCTGCTGGTGCTGGAGGTGCTGGAGGTACTGCTGGAGGTGCTGGAGGTACTACTGGAGGTACTAGAGGTGCTGCTAGTGCAGGAGTTACTGGAGCTGCTAGTGCTGGGGGTACTGGAGCTGCTGCCGGTGCTGGAGGTACTGGAGCTGGTGGCACTGGAGGTGCTGGTGCTCCTGGTGCTGGAGCTGCGGGAGCTGCTGACCCTGGAGGTGCTGGAGCTACTGGTCCCGGAGGTGCTCGTACTGGAGGTGCTGGAGCTGCCGGAGCAGGTGGTACTGCTGGTGCTGGAGGTGCAGGAGGTGCTACTGGAGCTGCTGGCACAGGAGGTACTGGAGGTACTACTGGTGCTGGAGGCGCTGGAGCTGGAGCTGGAGGCACTGGAGGTGCTGGAGGTACTACTGGTGCTCGAGGTGCTGGCGCTGTCGGAGCTCGTGGTGCTGGAGGTGCTGGTGCTACTGGTGCTGGAGGTCTTGCTGGGGGTACTAGAGGAGCTGCTCGTGCTGGAGGTACGGGAGCTACTGGTGCTCTTCGCCACCTTCTCAGTCTTCCGCCAGGTGCTACTGGCTTCCCTGTGGCAGGTACTACTCCTCCGTTGCTGTGTCCGCCAGCGGACCAGTCACAGCCACCGCTGCTACCACACTCCCCACTGCCTGCTCCTGCTCCTTACACTGCTGCGGTGTCAGAGTCCCTGACTGAGCGTCGAGAGCCTGAGACTCGTGCTTCCACCCCTGAGCGTCGAGAGACTGAGTCTAGCTTTGACCTTGAGCCTGAGCCTAGAGCTGCTGTCCGTGCTCGTGTTCCTCGTGTTCGTCGTCCGCGTGCTCCGGCTGTCCCCGGCACTCACGATATGACACTCCGTCCTTCCTCTGTTCCTCAGCGTGTTGTACTACCGTTACCTCCTGCGTCCTCTCTGCCTGACGTTGCTGACCCTCCGTCTGACCTTGCTCGTGCGTCCAGTCCGACTGTTACTCGCCTTCTTGCTACGGTTGTGACGGACCCTACGTTCTCGTCTCCTGCTGCGTCTGCCCTAGTAGCTGAGCTTGTTGACTTTGCTGCTGTGTACCGCCTAGACTACCTTGCGAGTCTTGTCTCTGACCCTGTCCCTGCCTGTCCTCCGTCCGTCGGGGGTGAGACTGCTCTTGGCTGTACTGCCCTTGGCTGTGACGTTCTTGAGGACAGACAGGAGGAGCTGGAGTGCCTTGCTGCCGCTTCACCCCATCACGCGACCATGCTGCTTGCCCCTGAGGGAGACCCGGATGCACTTGACATCCCCACCCCGCGCTCCTACAGGGAGGCGATTTCGGGTGAGTACTCCTCTCAGTGGCAGACAGCCATGGACGCAGAGATGGCTTCCTGGAAGTCCACAGGCACCTACGTCGACGAGGTTTCCCCACCTGGGGCGAACATCGTCAGTGGCATGTGGATTTTCAGGGTGAAGCGGCGGCCGGGTTCTCCGCCTGCCTTCAAGGCACGTTACGTTGCTCGAGGCTTCAGTCAGCGTGAGGGGGTCGACTTCTTTCAGACCTTCTCCCCCACCCCGAAGATGACCACTCTTCGGGTGTTGCTACACGTTGCAGCTCAGCGTGACTACGAGCTGCACTCCCTCGACTTCTCGACAGCTTTCTTGCAGGGTAGCCTTCACGAGGCCATCTGGTTGCGCCGTCCACAGGGTTTCACTGGGTCGTTTCCTGAGGGTACCCAGTGGAGCCTACGGCGACCAGTGTACGGCCTGCGTCAGGCGCCCCGTGAGTGGCACGACACACTGAGGACGACACTTGCGGCTCTTGGGTTTGCTCCTTCGACTGCTGACCCGTCGCTGTTTCTACGCACCGACACTACTCTGCCGCCGTTCTACATCCTCGTGTACGTCGACGACTTGGTTTTTGCTACTGCTGACACTGAGGCACTGGCCCTAGTGAAGGCAGAGCTGCAGGAGAGACACACCTGCACTGACTTGGGTGAGCTGCGGAGCTATCTTGGCTTGCAGATCACCCGGGACAGACCACGGCGCACCATCACCCTCACTCAGTCACACATGGTGCACCAGGTCCTTCAGCGCTTCCGCTTCACTTGGTCCTCGCCACAGCCCACTCCTCTGTCTACCGGCCACTCGCTCTCAGCTCCACCTTCGGACGAGTCCGTAGAGCCGAGTGGTCCGTACCCAGAGCTTGTGGGTTGCCTCATGTACCTGATGACGTGCACACGACCTGACCTCGCGTACCCTCTCAGCCTCCTGGCTCGCTACGTGGCACCTGGTCGACACCGAAAGGTGCACTTTGATGCTGCGAAGAGGGTACTGCGTTACTTGTGCAGCACATCGGGCATGGGGCTCGTGCTTGGAGGACAGGGTTCGGTGGTCCTCACAGGACACTCTGACGCTTCTTGGGCCGACGACCAGATGACTCAGCGTTCGTCACAGGGTTACACCTTCAGTCTTGGCGCTGGTTCTGTCTCGTGGAGGTCCACTCGTTCTTCTTCTGTGCTTGGTTCCAGCTGTGAGGCCGAGATCTACGCTGGGGCCATGGCTGCACAGGAGCTACGCTGGCTGACCTACCTGCTGACCGACTTGGGGGAGCGGCCTCGTTCTCCTCCAGTTCTGTACGTCGACAACAAGGCAATGCTTTCCTTGTGTCGCGAGCAGAGACTGGAGCACAGAACGAAGCACATTGCTCTTCGCTACTTCCTTGCGCGTGAGCTGCAGCAGCGTGGTCAGCTGCGCCTTGCTTACGTGGCCTCTCGGGCCAACACTGCTGATGTCTTCACCAAGGCCCTTGGGGCTGGTGATCATCACCGTTTCTGCACTGCTCTTGGGCTTGTGCCCACTCTGCCTCACTTGTTGGTTGCTTGACTTGCTCTTGTTGTACACTGCTATATATCTTTATGCCTGCATGTTTTCTCTTGCTAGGTTGTGATCAGTGTACTGCCTTGCTATTATATACCTCTGCATGTGAACTGGCCTTGTGGCCACTTGCTTGTGCTCAGAATGCGTGGTGACTTTGTGATCCACCCTGAGCTGTGTTCTCTTCTGCAGACTGGTCTTGTGACCGCTTGTTGTGTTTGCTGTCCCCTACTTTGCCTATGGGGGTGTGTCAGATTACCATTGTATCTCTAGGCTACAGTAGGGTCACTCCTTAGTGAGTACAACACTTTAGGGTTAGGTTTCCCCTACTTGTACTCACCTCTTGCCTAGTCCAATCCATCATTCCTAGTTGTATTCTTGACAAAATATGCACTACCTATGGTTATGGATGGTTCTATTGACCGCTTTAGCTACTTTACCTAATCTCGCACTGTCAAGAAGAAATTAAACAAGCCATACACAATACACAAAGCAACTTCTGTTCCGATAAAGTGCAGGCTACAGTACAGGACAACGTTTTCTTTCTATCTACATCCCTGCTTCCCCCGTTATCCCTGCTAGCCTATACCTACCGTATGTTTAGCGTAGAATCACCCTTCCCCCCCTTGCCTGTCCAATTACGTACTACTGGCAGACGCACCATGTGCAGTCGCATTTCCTGCTCCACATCATGCCCTCTAGCCATGCCAGCATTCTGCAAAACAACAGATCAATTATTTATATTTATATTATTTCCTAGAGACTGCATGTAGGTGCCATAGGTCCCTCACTCTCATCCCACTTCTCCGGTCCCTGCTTCCCTCACTACTGTACCCCTCCCCCACTCACTCCCCCCAGCCTGCTTCCCTTCCCCCTGCTGCAGCCTCTGCGCCAGGCCCCTGCTCGCCTCGCCCTACACACCCCTGCTGCCTTCCCCTGCTGCCCCTGCTGCCCCTGCTGCCTTCCCCTGCTGCCCCTGCTGCCTTCCCCTGCTGCCCCTGCTGCCCCTGCTGCCCCTGCTGCCCCTGCTGCCCCTGATGCCCCTGCTGCCCCTGCTGCCCCTGCTGCCCCTGCTGCCCCTGATGCCCCTTCTGCCTTCCCCTGCTGCCCCTGATGCCCCTGATGCCCCTGATGCCCCTGCTGCCTCCGCTTCACTCCCCCCTCACTGCCCGCCAACATGCCTCGCCTCCCCCTGGTGCCGCCTCTGCGCGCCCCCTCACCCTCTAGCCTCGCCCTACACACTCCTGCTGCCTTCCCCTGCTGCCCCTGCTGCCTCCACTTCACTCCCGCTTACTGCCCGCCACCCTGCCTCACCTCCCCCTGCTGTCTTCTACTGCTGCTGACTGCCTCGCCCCCCCCCCCCCCCCCACATACTCACTGCCCGCCAACATGCCTCCCTTTTCCCTACTGCCGCCTCTGCGCCAGCCCCCTCACCTCCTCGCCTCGCCATACAAGCCCCTGCCGCCGCCCTCCCCTGCCGCTACCGCTGCCACCGCATAACTCCCCCTCACTGCCCGTCAGCCTGCCTTGCATCTCCCTACTGCCGCCTCTGCGCCACGCCCCTCACCTCCTCGCCTCGCCATACAAGCCCCTGCTGCCCTCCCCTGCCGCTGCTGCTGCCTCCGCATCACTCCCCCCTCACTGCCCGCCAGCCTGATTCCCCTCCCCCTGCTGTCGCCTCTGCGCCAGCCCCCTCACCTCCTCTGCAGTGGGCGGGCGAGGGCCCTCTGGGGGGTAGATCACATATGCTCTCTGCAGGAGAAGACATGAGGGAAAGGAGGAAAAGGGTGTGGGCGGAAAGGGGTACACGGGGGGTGAAAGAGGGGAAAGGGGTACATGAGGGGTGAAAGAGGGGTATATGAGTGGGGGGCTGAGGGCACTGTGGGGCACTGATCACACACGCTCTCTCTCATGCCATACAGATGGCCTCATGCCTCGGATGATGGAGACACAAGTCTCATGTCGCATGCACGCTTCACACGAAGCACGCACATATCTCATGATGCCCTCACATATCGCATGATGCCCTCACATATCGCATGATGCCCGCACATATCGCATGATGCCCTCACGTTTCGGATGATAGCCTCAAGGTTGTCCTGGTTGTTGGCGAACGTAACCATCATGGCGATGGGAATGATCTCAAACACTCATGCACGCACATGTCACATGATGCACGCACAGGTCACATGATGCTCTCACGTTGCGGATGATGGCCTCGAGGTTGTCTTGGTTGTTGGCGAGAAGAGGCTTTTGATTAATTTCTCTAAAGCATAAATATCATCAATACAGGACCACGCGCACACGTTGCATCAACGCCTCACGTTGCGGATGATAGCTTCCAGGTTGTCCTGGTTGTTGGCGAATGTGACCATCATGGCGATGGGAATGACACCTCCAGAACCCCAACATGGACGCACGCACATGATGCAAGCACAGCACACCAAGGCCTCACATTGCGGATGATAGCCTCGAGGTTGTCCTGGTTGTTGGCGAATGTGACCATCATGGCGATGGGGATCCCCACGTAGCACGCGAACTTAAACACCTCCAGGAACCCCTTGCGCGGCCCTTTGAACGACATCCCGGTCCCGATTCCCGCCTGCTGCGCTCGCTCGCTGCTCCTTCTTGCCGCAAATCCCGCCGTCGCCCTCTGCACGTCGCCGTTTCTGCCGGATTTCACCTCTTCCTGCCGGATTTCACCTCTTCCTGCCGGATTTCACCTCTTTCTGCCGGATTTCACCTCTTTCTGCCGGAATTCGCCTTCTCTGCCCCAACTTCTGCTGCCGCCAGTCCTTTCCGCCTGAATCTGCTTTTGGCGCCTGAATCTGCCCTGAGCGGCTATGGCAGCTGAGAAGGCGGAAGCGGGGAAAGCCGAAGCGGGGAAGGCGGAAGCGGGGAAGGGCGACGGGGTGAAGGCGGAAGCCGGGAAGGGCGACGGGGTGAAGGCGGAAGCGGAGAAGACGCGGAGGTCGAGGAGGACTCAAGTGGCGGAGAAGGAGAAACAGCACCCCGGGCGGTGCCGCAACAACCCGCCGGTGGTGACGGCGGTGGTGACGGCGGTGAAGGCGGTGACGGCGGTGACGCGGGAGCCACTAACTCGAAAAAGAGGAGAGAAGAAAGCCGAAACCGTCGAAGAAGATCATGCGCGACGCCAGTAGGGGAGGCGCCGCCGACAGACGAGGCGCCGCCAGACGAGGCGCCTACGCGCTACTGCGACCGGAGGAAGAGGCGGCGACTGAGTCGGCGCGTGAGGCGGCAAAGGGGGAGAACGAAGAGGGCAAAGGGGATGCGGAGAAAGAATGTCACCTCTTTCTGCCGGGATTTGCCTTCTTTGCCGCAATTTCTGCTGCCACGTGACACGTCGGTGCGTGGCAGCGTCCTACGTCTTTTCTTACGAAGCTTCGACTCTCCACTATTGCGCAACGTCTACGGTATCCGTTATTGAGTGAAACATTCATTAAGTAGCTGTGAAGGGTCGCAGTAAACTGAGTGGTTAAAGGACGTATTTTGCTATGAGCCATAATTATACAACTCTAACCCCCCATTGGATAGGATTACCATGCACAACCAGTTGCACTCTATTGGTGCTGGTAATAAAATGATACGATTATATCCCTTTAATTTATTGTCTAACTAAAAGTTTATAACATACAACATGTATGAGCTTCTAGCAACTAGGTGAGCATGGCGAGGCGAGCATGGTGAGCATTGTGAGCATCCCGTGACGATGAGTTTGGGAGCCGTCGTTTCAAAAAGCTCAACGCAGATAGGTCACCTGCTGCTGTCATGGATACCTATCTCCTTGAGCAGAGTGCATGCGGTTAAGGGAGAACACTTGGGAGAAGGGCGGGGCAGGGTCTGGGGAGCATGAGGGGTGATTTAAGCATGGGGACATGAAAGCATGAGTGGGTGAGAGAATGGGAGCATGAGAGGGTGAGAGCATCCATGCAAACACCACTTGCAGGGTGGCATGAAGCCGAAATGGCAGGCGATAAAAGGGTGAAGCGGAAGGATAAGAGGTGGGATACAGAGGGTGTCGGCCCGACGGGGGCAGAGGGCAAGGAAAAAGGGGAAACAGAGGGGGTGTGGCGCAGGAATGTGCAGGGATGGGAAGAGAGGAGAGAGGCGGAAAAGCGGAGGGGGGGGAAGTGGGGCGGGAGGAGTGAGCCAGAGAGGGTTGTGGTTATAAGGGAGGCAGAAAGGGAAACGACGAATGTGCATAGGGAGAAGGGAAAACTGAGGTGGAGAAGGGCGGGGAGAGATGGAAGAAGAGAGGCAGGGAGGAAAGGGCGGGTTCAAAGGCAGAGGGAAATATAGGCAGGGAGGAAAGGAAGGAGAGAGGTGGGAGGGAAGTGTGGTGAAAGTACAGAGGGGCTAAGAGAGGGGGGGGAGGAAGGAAGGAAGGAAAGAGGTGTGGATGGAAAGGCGGTGATAGGGCAGAGGAGGAGATAGGCGGGGAGTGAAGGAAGGAGTGAGTTGGAATAGGAAGGGCGTGTTCATGGCAGAGCGAGAGATAGGCTGGGTCGTGTTTTGAGTCGACTCAATACAGAGTGAGAGATAGGCTGGGGACGAAGGAAGGAGAGACACGGGGAGGGAGGTGCTTTGAAAGGGCAGAGAAGGAGATAGGCGGAGAGGGAAGGAAGGAGAGAGGACTGGAGGGAAGGGCATGTTCAAGGGCAGAGGGGGAGATAGGCGGGGAGAGATGGCAAGGGGATTTGACGGACAGACAAGGGTGAAATGGACGGAAGGGCATGGGGGAAACGGTGAGAAAGGCAATGGGTTAAGTGGGGGAAAACGGGCAAGGGGGAACGAAGGGAAGGACAAGAAGGAAAGGGAGGGAAGGACAAGGGAGGAAACGGAGGGAAATGGGCATGGGGGGGACGGAACGAAGCACATATGGGGATCAGGGGGAAGGGCAAGGGGATACCGAAACGATGGCAATGGGGAGTAGTGGGAATGCGGGGGAAATCGAAGGGAACGACAAGTGGTAAATGGAGGAAAAGGGAAAACGGAGGGATGGACAAGCGGGGAATGGAGGAAGGGCAAGGGGGGGATGGGAGAGGCGGAAAAAGAGGGGGGGAAGGAAGGAAGGGAGAGGAATGAACGGGAGTATGAAAGAGGGGACAGGAGGGGGGCTAAGGGAGGGTCAGGAGAGTGGGGAGAAAGGGATGGGAGACTGGAAAAGTGGAGGGATGGCAAGGATGGAACGGAGGGACAAAAATGGGGGAAGATGCACACATGGAAAAGGGAGAGCAGTCTATAGGATAAGGGGAATGGTCAGAAGCGGACAGAAGAGCTGCGGAGGCCTTACTTGCCGTTCGGTGTGTGGCCCATTGTCGGTGCGTGTGTATTTTAGGAGCAGCGCGCTGGGAATGGAAAAAGCTTCGCGTAGGGAAGGGGGAAAGCAGTGTGCGGGGAAAGGGGAGCAGTGCAGGGGGGTTGGGGAAGCAGAAGGGTTGGGAAGGAAGAGCAGTGCAGGGGGGAGCGGGGAAGCAGCAAGTAGGGAAGGGGGAGCAACTTATGGGGGAGCAGGGAAGCAGCGAGTAGAGAAGGGGGAGCAGCGTATGGGGGAGCAGGGAAGCAGCGAGTAGGGAAGGGGGAGCAGCGCAGGGGTGAGTGAGGAAGCAGCGAGAAGGGAAGGGGGAGCCGCGCAAGGGGGAGTGGGAAAGTAGCACGAGAGAGCTAGTTACCCTTTCCTCCTCATGCCCCACACCCTTGCCTGAAATTGCCTCCTGCTCCTCACACTCCCCATCCACCGCCACCACGTGAGCCACCCCATTGTTCCTGCCCTTCTCCCTGTTACCAGCAAGCTCTCTGGCTGCTGCTAAGAGAGCGAGCAGGAGGGCAGAGGACACACCCGGGCATCCATATAGGTCCAGAAGAACCAGCCGCGGCAGCTGCAGCTGCAGCGGCGCACCGGAGGCATTGCCTTCACCAGTAGTTGCGTTGGGACTAGGTGAAAGCTCAGGGGTACACTCAGAAGCACTGCCTGCACCAGGTGAAATTTCAGGGGTACACTCAGAAGCACTGCCTGCACCAGGTGAAATTTCAGGGGTACGCTCAGAAGCAGCGGCAGCAGCACTGCCAGCAGCAGCATTCAAAGCCACGCCGCCGCCGCGCCAGCTGTCGCCAAACAGGGCCGCCACGACAGCAGCATCATCCACCGCCGTCCGCGCCAGCCGCAGCACCTCCAGCCACCCGCATCGCCTCGCCAGCTGGCGCAGCCCCACTGGCCCCACGTTCTCACAGCCGCCCAGACTCAGCTGCACCAATCGCGTGCATCCGTTCGCAAGGGCCACCACACCAGCATCGGTGACCAGCGGTTGGAGGGGAGGGGAGGCAACATGGAGGAAGGTCCTGGCATAGGATGAGGGCCAGTAGAGAACGTTAATTTCAGGATTCCTGGCAGCAGCAGGGCCGACCGCAACGAAGCGAGCTAGCGGCTGGGCGTGCAAGGCGGTGAGGTTCGGGCAGGAGTGGGAGATTTGCAGCAGAAGGGCGTCTGTGGCGCAGGGGAGGGCGAGGCGCTGCAGGAGAGGCAGGCAGCGGATGGACTGGCAGAGAGCTGCCTCGCCGCTCGCAGTTGGGCAATTGGATATGCCGCTTAGGAGAGGAGGAGGGCAGCATGAGGATGCGGTTTGGGAGAGATCGAGAGTGGTGAGGTGGCGGAGCAAGGGGCCCACGAGTTGCCACGTGGACAGGGAGGAAGTGTGGGCGTGAAAGGAGCGCAGAGAGGAGGAGGAGGAGGAGGAGGAGGAGGAGGAGGAGGAGGAGGAGGAGGAGGAGGAGGAGGAGGAGGAAGAGGAGGAGGAGGAGGAGGAGGAGGAGGAGGAGGAGGAGGAAGAGGAGGAGGAGGAGGAGGAGGAGGAGGAGGAGGAGGAGGAGGAGGAGGACGGAGGTGAGAGGCACTGGCTGCCGCCATTGCCGCCGCCGCCGCCGCTGCTGCTGCTGCTGCTGCTGCTGCTGCTGCTGCTGCCAGTGATGACGCTGCTGCTGGTGATGGTGCTGCTGGTCTGTGCTCCAGTGGCGACGCAGTTAGCAGAGAGGGCGAGCAGGAGGGAGGAGGCGGGAAGCAGATGCCAGGCAACGGAGTGATGGGGGGTGATATATAGACGGATGGAGGAGAGGCAGGGCGCGAGAGATGACCCTGACGCGCACGAGAAGGGGTTGTCGGCCTTCGGGGGTGCCTCGGCGAGCGAGGAGAGGTGAGCCAGAAGAGCAGCCGCCGCATTATCATCGGCTGCATCGGCTGACATTTGAGACGTCTCTAAAGCCGCCGCAGCATCATCAGCTGCATCGGCCGACCCCCTCGCCCGTACTCCGCGGTGCTCTGCCGCTGCGCGTGCCGCCTCGCGCTGCTGGTTCTGCGGAAGGGGCTCGAGGCGGTAGGACACGAGAGAGAGGCGCTGCAGCGACGGGAGGAGCGCGAGGAGGAGAGAGAGCGTCTCCCAGGTGATTGAATCCGAGCAGAGCGAGAGGCCTGTCAGGCGCGGAAGCTTGCTGGCCACGTGCTCTATGGACTCAGCAGTGTAGTCCCCCGGCGCGTCGAGGTTTAAGGCGCGGATATTAGGGAGCGCGGCGGCGATTGAAAGCAGGTCACGGGCGGAGAGGAACACTGGCTGCCGATGGGGCGCGCACAACGGGGGAGGCCGCGGCGGGGGAGCGATCCAAGGAGGACGGAAAGGCGGCAGGGGAGGTGCAGGAACACGCGGAGGGGATGGGAGGGGCGGAGGGGGCGGAGGAACACGCGGAGGGAGAGGGAGGGGCGGAGGGGGCGGAGGAACACGCAGAGGGGGAGGGGGTGGCGGAGGAGGGGGCGCAGGAACACGCGGAGGGGGAGAGGGCGGCGGAGGGGGCGCATGAACACGTGGCGGGGGAGGAGGTTGCGGAGGAGGGGCCGCAGGAACACGCGGAGGGGGAGAGCGGGGAGGAGGAGGCGCAGGAACACGCGGAGGGGGAGAGGGTGGCGGAGGGGGGGCAGGAACACGCGGAGGGGGAGGGGGTGGCGGATGGGGAGGCGCAGGAACACGCGGAAGGGGAGGGGGTGGCGGAGGGGGCGAAGGAGCACGCGGAGGGGGAGAGGGGGGCGGAGAGGGCGCAGGAACACGCGGAAGGGGAGGGGGTGGCGGAGGGGGAGGCGCAAGAACACACGGAGGCGGAGGGGTTTGCGGAGTGGGGGTGGACGAGCCCGGCTGGGCGAATTGAGTGGCGTCCCCATGACCCCACACCAGATCGAATCTCCGAAATTGAGTCCTCCCATCTATCTCCTCCTCATTGAACGCTTCCGAATCGCCTTCAGCGAACGCGAGCGGGTTTACGCACGTCACCGGGCAGAGAAAGTGGTCGGAGCGCACACTCAGCGACTTGGGCTGACGTGGCACGGCTGGTAACAGCACCCTCTCGAAGTTTAATTTGAGCATGGGTAGCGAATCCAGTGGCCGGCAGGCATGCTCCACGCAACTGACCAGAGTTAGGGTTTCGATCCTCGGTGCGTGTCCAAGGATTCGCGCGATGCCGTCGCACGTCAGCCTGTCGCTTTCAGATCTGGTGAAGTTCCTCGCGCCGGGACGGAACTCCAGGGACCGGAGCGTGTCGGCGAATCGCGTAGTTAAATCGAGCAACTGCGATTCGGACTCGAAACTACCTAGGATGCGCTCCAATCCAGGAGCGAAGCTCTCGAGCAGGAATGGTGACGGTCGAAGCGACCGCACGCACTCGCGCAGCGCGATGCGGCGCCAGCGGCGGCAGACGAAGGCGGCCGAGGCGATGGCGAAGCGCGAGGGGAGAAAGGAGAGGACGATGGAGAGAACGTTGTCGTCTAGTAGTGACGTGAGGGAAGCGCATTCCGCGGAGAACTCTCCGCGATCACAGTCGGAGCTATCGATGTGCAACACTTTTTCCACGGCAATGGGAGCTGTCAGTAACCAGCCAGGATACTGTCACGGTATCACGAGAGAGGCGAAATGCCGCGGATATGTTACTGAACAGTTCAGATCGAGAAATCGAATAGAGGAAATAACTAAGCTGCGGAGTAAACGCACTGGATTCTAATCTGAGCCAAGGGAATCATACGGCACGGAGGATGATGGGAAATCACGTCAATTCTCGATTTCTACGAAAATACTGCAGTTCGACGTGCGGGAAAGAAGGCCTGTTGAAGTACTCTTGGCCCGGCAGCGCGATCTTCGGCTGTCGGGAATACATGAGGAAGAGGTGAGAGAGCGAGAGTCGGACCTTGCGCCCCTATAGTTCGCGCTGGTCAACTTTGGAGTCAACCCCAGTTGACCTCCGATTCCGTGTGTTGATGCGCAAACGGAATGTCAGGGGGGAAAGGCGGGGAAGTGCAGATTCGGGGGATGGAGGGGTGGTGTGGATTGAAACAGTTTTAAGTTTTAAGTTTTTATTAAGGTCGTAACCCAGACAACACAGAGGCTAAACAAGGTGTAACCCAAGCCAGAGGCCTACGCTAACATTTAGCGTTTCTTTAGCTGAACTAAGTTCACGGACAGGAGCTGTTCCTGGCCGCTCTGTGTCGGAAGCCGTAGGTGTAGAGTTGCATTAAGGTGGTTGGAAGGGGCTGTTGAGAAGCCAGGAGGAGCGTAATTCCGGATGGATTTGGGGAAACCCGTTGGGCAGGAATGTCAGGAGTTTGTGTCGGGTGGCAGCTCGGGCTCGGTTGGCAGTGGTGCGGTTGCGTTTCTTGGAGGGCTTGCTTCGGCGGAAAAAGAAAGTTTTGCACGCTGTAAGGAAGAGGGCCAAGATGCGGTGTAGGGTTTCCACGCTTGAGTAGGACACGTTGTCATACCGCTGCAAGCATCGGTCCCTCCGCAGATGGTTTTGCGCAACACGTTGCAAGGCGGTGGTGACCGTAGGCGCGTTGCCGCACTCGAAGAAGATATGGGGATGTGTTTCCATGCGATTGACGTGACACCGTTGACATATGCCTTTAGACGGGGTATAAGGCATCCTGTCTCCGCAAGGTAGGGAGCGGGTAAAGAGCCGGAATAGAACGTCTCGTTGACGGCTGGTCTGATCTTTAAGAAAGGCTTGCGTCAGGTCGGGTAGCGAGCGGAGCGGAAAGGGGAGGATCTCATTCCATCTTTCGACGTGGTCGAGTGGTTGTGGCGCGTAGAGATGCTTCCGTATCATGGCTAGCGATGGACGTTGTCGGAGAAGTTCATGTCGAATGCCAAGCGCCGCTCCCGAGCAGAAAGTCCCCACCAGCCACTTCTCGATCACACACACCGTGATGACTGCCGCAGCTGGTAAGGTCTTGCTTCCGAAGGGTGTCTTGTTCACCTGTCTTCCCTGTGTCACCTCGTAACAGTCAAATTTCACCAGCCCGTCGTCCAGGAATTGCTTGACACGTAGCAGAAGTGGTTGTTGATCTGTTGTGGAAGCTTCGAAGGCCCAATCGTTCGTATGGAGGTAGTCCGGGCGTGGTGTGAAGTCGTAGAGGACAGCCCACCAATCGTCGGGAACTGCCTTGTAGATTGCTAACAGAATTCGCAGCCCGCCTGGGTATTTGTTGGGTGGATATAAGGCACGGAATTCGGCCGGTGTCATTTGGCGCGACCCCCCAGGGACAGATAATATTAAGTCACCGAGGCGGATTTGTTTGTCTGGGTATTTGTTGTTACGATATGAAGTTTTATGAGAAGGCATTCCTGTATGCTGCAGGAGCCGACTCTACCGAGTACGAAGTCGAGGAGTCAGAAGAGTCGAAGCGACGCAGCAACCGCCTGACCAAGACCGATGCTGGCAGAAACATTTGAAGTGAAAAGAGCGGGAACAGGTTTGAAACAGGTTCCCGCGCCGCACGGTTTGAATTCGGTTGTAATAAGGGAATGTACCCCTTAGAGTACATGGCTAGTCTAGGTCTTTTCGTATTCCCTGTATTCTTATATAAACTCGATGTATGCATGCTATTATCAACTCAGTCATTTACATTCACTCTGACCTGAGATTCAAACTTCCGCTGCAACACTACTCTGCGATCAACCCTGAGCGATCCTTTGCTAAGTCCCACTTGGGATTGTAACATGGTATGAGAGCTACTCAGGGATTCTTCGCAACTTCACTTCCGTGAAATTCGCCGAATCAAGATCTGGCGAGCGGCACACGCTCCAAGACCAAGATGGCCGGAGGATCCGGAGGCCAAGCAAATCTGACGGCTGAAGGACAATCCAATCCGGCTGCGACAAATGAGGCGACAACCACGATTGGCACTGCCGCCCTCGAGCAACTCTTCGCTCGACTTTCAACTATGGAGAAAGAGCTCCAAGACCTGCGCAAAGGCGATGCGGGAACCTCTTCCCAACCAGGACAACCTGGACAACCGGCTGAGAAAAGCCGTGATACCGCCGCGCACACCTTCTCCCTCGACACAGACAAATCAACAACAACTGCCCCCCGTCCAAGTGATGAAGCCATCAACTCTGCGCAAACACGCTTCCTCAGCGTTTCAAAAATCAAAACTACTGCCGCGTTTGACGGCAAGGACTTCTACACATGGAGTTTCGAGCTTGAGCTCCTCCTACAAACGGCGCAGATCTACCATTACTTCGACGGCTCCTATCCTAAACCGGTGGAAAACACCGAAGTCGCCAGGGCTCAATATTACAGTGAGTCCCTCATGGCCTACAGTGTGCTGCTACGCAACATGACGCCTGCGGAACAACTCAACATCCGCTCCTACAAAGAGAGCGACGCTCCAGCCTTGGAAGCTTGGAAGCATCTCGTTGAAGTTTATCAGCCGAAAGATTCGGTCACCGCCAGCAGGCTTCTGCAGCAACTCCTGGAGATAAAAATGGGGCACGGGGAGAAAGCGAACCCTTATATTAACCGCTGTCGTAACATCCGTGACCAGATCACGAAGCATGGGAGTACGATCTCGGAAGAGATCTTCGTCAACATAGTCCTCCAAGGACTCGGGCCAGAGTGGAAGCCCTGTAAGGCATTACTCCGACAGCGAGGAACAATCTCAGAAGCTGCGCTATGCGCCGCACTCCTGTCCGAACAGCAGGACATGGAATCGAGCAGAACAAGCTCCGCGCCGCGCCGAGAGCGCCTCGCCTTCTACGCAGACAACCGTGAAGAGCGACGACAACCAAGGCGCCATTATTGCAAAATATGCAAGGTCTTCGGACACTCAACGGATCGATGCAAGTCCCGATCCAACTATCGCCACCCAAATTCCACTCACCACAACAACTGGGTCGGCCGACAAGATGCTCGTCATCCTCAGCCTCAGCAACAGACACCTCGTCCTCCTGCGCAACACCAACATCAGCAAGGATCTCAAGGACCTCCATCAGGAGCCCCCAGAAACATCATCGCGAACATGACGACGCGCCGACGTCGCTCTGATGAACCTGACGAGGAAGACGAGATTCAAGGAAGACTCCTTGAATCAGAAGAGGGATGGAATAACCCCCTCACTGAAAATTACTACTACCAGTATGACGAAGACGAGCAGGATTGGAACCTGCCAATCACTTTGCGGGAAAGCCCGCCGCACGACAATCAACACTACGTACCAGTGGGATGGAAGGAGGACGAACACCCTCTCTTCTACAGTCGCTACAAGGCAACCCTGGTGACTCCGCGATTGGCGCTACTTCTGCGCCGGAGCAATACCGACAACTACAACACCTGGTACCTGGACAGCTGCTGCGGACAACACATGGTGGGATCTACGCGCTACGTCTCAAATCTGAGCCGCACCCCCCCAACTTACGTTACCGTCGCCAACAACGAGCAGCTGCGCGCCAACTCACAAGGCATTGTCGTTCTGCAAGCACGAGACAGCAACACACACATCTCATTCAACGACGTACTCTACGTTCCGAATCTCCGTTTCAATCTGCTCTCGGCCGGACAACTTCGTGACTGCGGCGTCATTCTCACCACCGACCTCGCCACTCGCGATCTCATACTCACGTATGCCCCGCCGGATACTCCCCCCGAATCGTTCAAGTATCTCGGGCGAGCCCGCTCGATCAACGGGATCTATGTCTTGGACTTCGACGTACCTTCCTGCCAAGCTTCATCCGACGAGCTCGTGGCCCTAGTTCCCCTTGAATTTGCCTACACAAGCAAATGGGAGCACCCGGACGGACGACCATGGATTCGCCGTAGTCCTCATCCCCGCGAGATCAATCTGCACGACCCCGACATCAACGGTCTCTGCACCACCTGCCACACGCCCACCGCGAGTCGCACGGAGCAAGTCGAAAGAGAGCAAGCGGCAATTCAGGAAGCAGAGAGCGCCGAGGTAGAACCTACGGGCATGACACAAGAAGAGCTTGCAGTAACAACTCACCGAATTTTTGGTGAACCAAACGACGACTTCGGACAGCTTCGTGCCAAACGACCAACACCATATGCAGAAACGCTCCGGTTCGTCCTAGAAGCCAAC